CCCCCCCCTGTTTCAAAAGCTCATTCACAATTCCATCAGCCCCTGCCGCTTTTCTATTCTTGAGTTTCGCTACACAATCCTCTACCTCTTCTCGTGTGAACTCTCCCTGCAACCCGCCTACATCACTACATTACCTCCGAGATCTTTCAACGTTTTCCTCTGCCCACGACTTGATTTCGTTCTCAAACTCCGAGTCGAAGTTGTCGTTGGTGGTGGGTGTCCCAAGTTTGCGGTAGTGCTCTACTAGTACTTCCCGCTTTCCTTTAGAACTGCTTACCATCTTACCCTCGGCAGATCGTAGTGTCGCTATTCCCGTGTCTCCCCCTCTTTTCTTGCCCACTATTCCTTGGATTCCTACCCACATTTGGGGGTGGGGGGGAAGGTATGATCGGACAAAGGCCAAGCAATCGCTCCAGGAAATCAGAATCCAACATTGCAACCTGCTTCTTTGACAAATATCAGTCAAGTATTTACAATCTTGAGCAACCTCCCCTGATCTTGAGTGGCAGCAGAGAAATCTGTTGGGACTTTTCGCTGTGAAGATCAAGCCAGGTGGGAAGATACGAGAGGATTCGCTGCGATACATAAAATAAATATGGGAGGGTTCCCTGCGGATTGCTTGGTCACACAGGGACGGCTGCACGTGCTCAGGAAGAGGAAGTCGAAATTCCAAAACCTCGAACTCCGTTCAACCGCAAGCAATCCCCTCGATTGTTTACGATAACATCATCGCCAGCCTGCCTCGAAAGGCTTATGAATCGGATGTAGCCCATGGAGCCGATATCAAGCCTGAACAAGCGCACCGTCACACACCGCGGCGTCAAACAGAGAACCTCCCGCCGCACAGGAAGTGGGCTGAAAGGCGGGAAGTCATCTCGATAGGTTAGGGAAATTATTTATTTTTTACCACCGTTTGCAAAGGAAGAAGAATCGATCGGCCATCTGTGGTCGGTCCTGTGGGAAAAACGCTCGAGGACGCATGGTCAATGGCCCATCCGCTAGAGCATGCAACACATGAGAGTACCCTCACCCCTCCTACCTGAGCACCGGTATCGACGAATGCGCGGAGCACCCTCCCGTTCACCTCGCACTCGAGGAACAGCATGGCGTTGTCACCGACGCTGCCGCCGCTACCCACCCCGGCAGCCGCCCAGGCCGCCTCGGCCTCCGCCGCCGTCGCCGCCGCCGCGTCCTCGTTCTGCCTCTGGCCCGCTGCCCGTACGGCTCTGGCGTCGGCTTTAGCCAACTGGCGCGCGCGCGCGGGGGGGGGGGGGGGGNTGCTAAGGGTGTTCGGCATCTTGTGCATACTTCGTTGCATGCGGACGACAGCTGCGTTTGACTTTATTAATTTTCTGGTGCTTCAATTCCAGAGACAGTTGTAAGCACTGTGTAACTGCCTCGAGGGTGCTTGACCATTTTAGCACAACGTGGTGCGATCATCCCCCTTGCGCGGAGTGAGGGTTCTCCACCCCGCACAACATGATCTACTCGACCACCATTATGGTTACCCCCCCCAAAAAAAACAGAGGAAAAAAAAAAACTGTAACCTGGTTGCCGAGTTCACGAAGTGAATTGGCTTGTTTTACAACGTCGTTGCCAAG